TCCAGTGTGAAGTTTCCACAGTCTGTGTTGATTTGGGGAGCTATGTCATCTGCTGGTGTTGGTCCACTGTGCTTCATTAAATCCAGGGTCAACACAGCCATCTACTAGGAGAATTTGGAGCACTTCATGCTTCCTTCCGCAGATGAGCTTTATGGGGATGCTGACTTCATTTTCCAGCAGGGCTTGGCACCTGCCCACACTGCCAAAAGCACCAAAAGGACAGTGGGATTACTATGCTTGATTGGCCAGCAAACTCACCTGACCTGAACCCAATAGAGAATCTATGGGGCATTGAAAAGAGAAAGATGAAAGACATGAGACCGAACAATGCAGAAGAGCTGAAGGCCTCTATTGAAGCATCCTGGTCTTCCATAACACCTCAGAAGTACCACAGGCTGATAGCTTCCATGCCACATTGCATTGAGGCAGTAATTGCTGCAAAAGGGGCCCAAGTACTGAGTCCATATGCATGCTTCTCTGAAACTGCTATGTTTACAGCTGCAGGGATAACACTAGATGGACCTGGCACCCAGACCACTTCATTGAGCTAAAGTGGTCTGGGTGCCTATAGTGGTCCTTTAAGCCTCGTGTGGGTGATATTTTTGTAACGGATCACCTGGCACCCCGACTGGGTACCTCCATTGAAGGATGCTCCTTGCTCTTCCTGAGGACTCCAAGCACTGAAGCAGACACTACAACCACCGAACTGGAGAAGCATACAAATGCTCTCAAACATACGAATGCTGTAAGCAGCTGAACAGGAAAAGCATACAATCAGTTTACACTCCTGGCAATCAGCATACAATCCAATGCCCCCAATAACGAGGCGACACTTCGTTTTGAGGTCAAGCAGAACTTACTGTACTGGCACATACAGCCTCTTTTATTCACAATCCACAAACATAGTACTGCCCACAGAGTTTTGAAATGCAACCAATCAATCCGTACAATACACACAGACACTCCCACACAAAATCCTCCCCTCTGCCTGTGATATGATTACTGAACACAATGGTTAATATAATTATCACTGGAATAGAAATACAGTATTATAAAACATATCACAGGGAGCCCAAAACATGCAATAACCCTCATGGATGGGGCCCTGGGGGGACCTTAAGTCCCCCCATTATTTAATTAATTATGGTCCCCACCAGCCGCTTATGGTTTTGGACCTGGGTGGACATTAGGTGTTTCCCCCCCCCCCCTTTATTTAATTATTTAAGCTCCCCACCCGCCGGTCATAGTTGGGAACCTGGGGGGGACATTAGGCCCCCTCATTATTTATTTCTTAAGGATTCTTCACCCTGCTGTGGATGTTAATTCTCCCGCAGTACAAAGTCCGGCAAGCAGTAAAGTCTCCCAGTGCAGGGAGAGCTAATAACCGCCACCCGCCAGTGTGGGGGACTTAACCTGTGAAGGGCTGCAGGGAGATC